AGCTTCATCTAAAAGCCCTACATTCCACTCGGAAAGCTAGGGAATGTAACAAAATAACAATAAAACTCCTAAGATCCTCCTGGTATTGATTCCTGATGTTGGTTATTTTTTTAAAGATTTTATGATGGGAGCTTTGATTTTCTAGTAAATCTCCCTACAATAGTTATCGTCTTTTGAATAGACACTAACCAGTGTCATGTGTCTAGTCATTTGTTTCTCGCAGACTGAATTCTATCACTCAAGCTTGCAAAATGGTCACCATTCTAGGTGGCTCTCCATCAATTGCTCAGGTCAATCGCCAGCTCGGATAGCTTAGTGGTAATGTCTCTGATTGCAGCACTCACTGGGTGACATGGGGTTTGAATCTCAGAGTTCTTTCAGAATTCCAGATATGCCTTGCTATTGAGTGCTGAAAAGCCTGAAACTTAGCTCCAAGGTTTTCTGTGGCCGATTGCCTCCAACCATCTATTGTCACTTTTCCACAGATCAGTTTTAATTATTCTTAAGTAATGCCCCTGGAAGTATATGTTAAGCGTTAGCTTTCTATTACACAGCACAAGTGAATTTTCTACTTCTCTACTGACTTAATGTCTTTCTGTTTAACATGTAATACACATTTTGTTTATAAAATAGCTCTGGAAAAAAGCTCCCATTTTAAAAGGACGAAAGTGTTTAGGACTATTTTAAGTTATCTTTATTTAGTTTATTTAGTGTAGAAAGTGAACACGTAAACAATGAATAATGAATGTTAAACAAAGAAAATAAGTATTGATTATACAAATATATATATATATACATGACACAGAAACAGACAAAAGTGTTGTATACAACCGAAATGATAATTACCCAGTTAGTTGAGAAGCTTATATTACTGTGACAAAGTATAATAATAATATTATTGTTGTTGTTCCGATTTGATTCCCAGTAGAACATAGCGTTTTGGCAGCACGTCCCTACTTTGCCCACTTATCTGCGATCGCCTATAGTTAAACTCACGGTTGCTAATAGTCTCTCATCTTTTCCTCTCACGACCTCTTCCATACCGCTCTCAGACTCATCTTCAACTCGTCGTTTCCCATTCGGGTTCCATTCCAGTGATAGCCTGCATTTTGCACGATGTTATTCGGCGTTCCGCTCAATGTATGTCTAATCCGTCTCCAGTTTCTTCTGCATACTCGTTGGACAGTCGGTTCTTGGTGGGTTTACTTCCATATTTTCTTGTTGTTAATTCATTCCAGCTGGCTATCCGATCTTCATTATGGAGCTGGCGAGGACCGATGTCGATAAAACTCTGCAGTAGCCTGTTGGAAATCCTTTCCGTGATGCGAAGTGCAAGTCAAATTCCTTACTCATATAGAAGAATTGACTTCACATTTGTGTTGTAAATCCGAATCTTGTTTTTTTATACTGACTGAGTGCAGAAGACTTCCAAAGTGATTTTAGTATGATGAATGTGTAGCTTGCCTTTGTGATTCTAGCTGGTTGCCTTTAACATCTTCATCCATTCCGACTGCCTGTAGTTGAAACGATACTTCCAGAAAAAGTGATAGAAATAACCTCGGTCAAATTTCTCCCTTTGATTGGGATTGGCACTGGTTGTTGTTGTTGGTTGCTTGGTTGTTTATCTTCATTGCCCACCTCTGTCGTTTTTATATTCACCTGGAATGCTGTCTTCGCTGCCTGTTTCTTCAACCGGTTAGTTGGTTTTTCCCTGCAAGTCTTCAAATTTTTTTGTGATCAGTCAGGTTAAATTGAATATCTATCTACTAAATAAAAATTATTATTTGTTCCATGGGTTCCTAGTGGCTTCACTGGAACATCTCCATATCAGTCGGTTCTTTTGTATCACTTTCAGTTGGCTTCACGACTATCCACAAGCTTTCATTTGCTCTTCATATAATCTCTTCCATGTCACACTCAAACGTCCAAACTGCCGCTTCTCATTCAATTTGCACTAAAGGGCCTCAGCGTGTGTCCAATCCATCTCCATTTCCTTCTGCATATTTGTTGGGTAACAGAATGTTGGCCGGTTTGCTGCTTTCCACAGTTTTTTATTACTTATTCTTCCCTGTCGGTCATCTGGTCTTCAGTATTCAGCTGAGGAGGGAGTTGTTGACGGCGGTGATAAGTGTAGTAGATTCCTTCAGACGTGAATATTCCTAATCTTTGTTATTTGATATAATAACGTTAAATAAACTGCCATTTTATTCATTGTAGTAATAGTGAACAAAAGAATGTTGTTCCCAACAGTTAGTTTATAGGTATTTGGTTTTTTTAAGTTTGCTCAGAGATTGACATCAGTTGGAGAACCAGTGGAAATTAGGGAGCACCAGACAGTTGTTTCTTCCTAGTTCGGGACTAACTGATAGTGCACCAATGGACTTCTAACCCAGGACCTTCCGATTACAATTCGAGCTCGTAAATCACTTAGCCCTTAAACCTGACTGAATTCTAACTTGAAAATTCAAACTAACTCTTGAAAATTAATCTAATGCGCTATAGTGACTGGCTGAAGAGCTAAGCTGACGGTATTTTCAATGAGAAGTCGTAACTGGTGGGGTCCACCTGGTTGGGAGTGAGGATAAATACTTGCCACTAATAACACTAGCTGGTACCAATTGCGCTAAAATCACGAATTGGTAGAAGTTAGAATTCATGTACTGGCTACTCAGGAGTCGGGTCTCAGTGGCTGAATGATCTAAGAGCTTGCCTCGTAACCAAATGTTTCTATGTTCGAACCCTGGAAGTGGGTGCATATCATCGATGAGTCTTAAACTAGGACGAAACAGCTGTCCAGTACTTCCTGGTTTTCAAAAGTTTTCTAACTAATATCATTATGTGGTCGAAGATGAAACGAAATAATGTTAAACTAAGTTTTTGTAAATGACACACTGCTAGATGAAATACAGAATACATTTTTTCCGTTGTAGAATGTTAACAGCTCATGAAGTGAACTTCACATAACTTGAAAGGTTGTTTAACTGTGTAATTCTATTAGTATTTAGAATTTTCCTAGTTATTAAGATCAAAGACATTACGACCTCTATTGTCCTCAATATACATAACCAAATCGTCCCTCCAAACTGCCTTCTTTTGTATATTGCCCCATACTGTTTTATAGCATGCCTGCTACCCCAAATGAATAAATAATAATAAAACCTGGGAGCACTAGATATTCGTTTCGCCTTGCCTGGGACTCTTCATTAGCATTCACCCGCCAGGGTTCGAACCCAGGACCTTCTGGTTACGGGGCAAGCTCAGAGACCATTAGGCCATTGAGATCCGACCCAGTGGTCCATGAATTCCAACTTCTGTCAATTCTTGATATATTTAGTGCAACTGCCAGCAATTTTCCCAAACTAGGACGTAACGACTGTCCAGTACTCTCAGGTTCTCCAGTGGTTCTCTAAATGATGTTGGCTGGTGATCAATCATGTAACCAATCGAATCCCTGCAAACCAACAATTAATAAATATAAATAAAGCCTTATTTCAAACAATCAATATCTGGGCACATATTACAGAAATTCTCAGCGTATTTAGTTCGAAAATATTTTCTCTTCATACAGGATTCATTATTATTATTTTTTCCTTTAGTTCCTACAAGAACATATGGCTTCAGCCGAACGTCTCTATTGCCCTCGGTTCTCATCTGTCTCAACGTTTTCACCTGGGTCCACGTATGCCCACATGCTTTCATCTCCTCTTCACATCACCTAATCCTCCATGTCATCCTACATTTCACTGACGACCAACTCGCTACTTCCCATTTTGGTTCCATTCGAGCGACAGCCTACCGTGTGATGTCACTCACGTGATAGTTTGTTTTCTCAGAGTATGGCCAATACCCCTCCATTTCATCCTGCTTATTCTTTGCACAGTTGGTTCCTCGTTGGTTGGTTCGTTTTTTCGCAGAGATATCTCCGTGTTGCTGATGTTTTCTGGCTGGCCATCTGATCTTGAGTAACATTGAGAGAAAACAGCTGTTGATGAAGTATGTAGTTTATTTGAAGTGCTCCTCATGACGTATCACGATTTACATGTTAAATAATAATCTGAAGTATATCGCATGACGTAGTGTAGTTGCATTTTTCTTCATTTCCTCCAAGAATTACACAGTAACTGAATATGTGTACGAGTTCATCTACTGACCATCTGATATAGTTTTATGCTTAGAACAGTAAGATATGAAGAACAGTTTAAGCAGGATTTTGGTGAACGGAAATTCTGATAGCCCACTGATTTAAGAAGACAGTCAATTTACTATGTTTACTGATCTAGTCCAACTTCAATGGGAAGTCAGTGCTACTCACTATACGGATCAGAGACTTGCATTGTGTGTCACGAAGGGCACTTCGAACAAAATACACGCCTTCATCGACAACTGCCTTCGCTAAATACTACTCAAGATCAGATGGCCGGCAGAAAAGATCAGAAACAGGGATCACTGGCACTGAGCGAACCAACCAACCTACCAGGAACCGAGTGTACAACAAATAAGCAGGAAGAAATGGAGGTGGATTGGATTGGACATACTCCGAGAAAACCATCAAGTGATATCACAAGACAGGTTCTCGAGTGGAACTCAAACGGGAAACGGCGAGTCAGTTGGCTGTCAGTGAAATGGAGGGTGATATGGAGGAGGTCATGTGAAGAGGAGATGAAAGCATGTGGGCAGATGTGAATCCAAGTGAAAACGTTGAGAAAGATAAGAAATGAGTGCAATGGAGACGTGAGGCTGAAGCCCTATGTTCTTTTAGGAACTAATGGAAACAGTAATTATAATAATACTGATCTAGTCATTGACTCGCCTTACAAACCATACCTCAGTTATGAATCTGAGCAATTTAATTACTTTTGTATGAACAGCACAGTTGAATAACTTCTTCACAAACTAATTAAGTGATCCAGATATTTATTTTGCCATCAGTAATGATAATAGTTTTGTTAATGTTATTGTCATTATTATTATTATTATTATTATTATTATTATTATTACAGAGCTAATTAACCTCCCAGCTAATGACTGACAGTATGCCAGATAGAAAAAACACTCGAAGAGTTTACGGAGAACAAACTGTCAACTTCAGCCTGTCTACATCAAACAAAATCCTATCGAAACCACAAATAACATAATATCATTATTATTTATTATGAAGTGACTGGATGAAAATGACAAAAATAATAATAATTAATAAAAATTTAAAAAAACTATTATCAAGTAATTAACGAATCATTGTTGTTTTCAATAAATTCATTGTTAAAAAAAATAGTATAACTAACTAAACATTGGAAAGGAATCTGGTTAAGTATCGATGAAATCGTAGAAGTTAGAGTTTATGAACTGGCAACTGGATTTCATCCAATTGTCTGAATGGTCAACGGGATCACCTCGTAATCCTAAGATCATCATGGCCTCAATCCTTGGCGGTGGGTTCATGTTAGCGTGCTGTTGAAAAGTCCCCAACTGGGACAAAACAGCTGTCTCTCTTGAACTCCCTGGTTTACAACAATTCTCTAACTGATATCAATCCATAATTTTTTGGGGGGATTTTGTTAAGAATGTGCATATTTTCTATCCGATCTTTGCTTATCACATAATAATGGCATTATCAACTGGTCGGGTACACAAGTTCAGTTGTAACTACAATCCATATAAGGAGATAGATCCCTTAGGCATATCGTTTTGTTCACAGTCAAAATTTGTCTTTTAGGAAGCAAACAGGTAGAAATACCGATGATAACGAATTGATAATGAAACCAGTGCTTACATTGACATTCAAGAGACGGAATGATAAAAATTCAAATCACTTAGATGGATAAAGCTGTGAAACCACTCAAAACATCAATTCTAAAAGAATGATTCTCTCAGTGACGTTAGTTGAAAGAAAATAAATGACTATTTTTAAGTGTTGGTTTGTAGGGATTTGATTGGTTACAGGATTTCATCATGAGCTGACATTGGCTAGATAACCGTTGGAAAACCTGGGAGTACTGGGTAGCTGTTTCGTGCTAGTTCGGGACTCTTCATAAGTACGCACCCACCGAGGTTCGAACCGAAGACCTTCCGGTTACAAGGCAAGCCAGCTCGTAGACCATTGGGCCACTATGACCTAATCTAAGCTCATGATGAAATCCTGTGACCAATCAACCAAATCCCTACAAACCAACACTTGAATATCAATGAGATGCTCACTAGCGACTTGCCCTATTCAGGTAGGTAGTTACCTGGGGTTCTAGTGAGAAGTCGTGACCACTAGGGTGCAGCAGGTCGGGTGTGAGGACAAATACTCGCCAAAGACAGTGGCTAGGGGTCGCGGTATGTCGTGAATTGGAGAAGTTGGAATTCATGGGCCATTGGATAGGGTCTGAGTGGCTTAGTGGTATACGAGCCCGTCTTGTAACCAGAAGGTCCTGGGTTCGATTCTCGGTGGGCGCGTTCTGATGAAGAGTCGCAAACTAAGACGAAACATCTGTCCAATACTCCTAGGTTTTCCAGTGGTTCTCTAACTAATGTCAACTCATGATGAAATCCTGTAAATAACTATTTTAAGATTAGTTTTTCAAGTTTGACCACGGAGTGATATGGTTAGAGAACCATTGAATTGGAGTTCTAGTGAGAAGTCGTGACCACTGAGGTTGGTTCAGTCGGGAGTGAGGATGCAGTTCCCATCGATGACTTTAGTTGGTGGTCACGCTATATCAAAAACTTCGTAAAAGTTAGAATTCCCGTAGTGGCCATTCAGTAATCGTCCCGAGAGATTGAATGATATACAAGCTTAACTTGCAACCGGAAGGTCCTGGGTTCGAAAATCAGTAGGTGCGTACCGCCAGTAATTCCCAAAGTAGGATGTAACAGTCGTTCAGTACTCCCTGGTTTTAAATGGTACTGTAACTGATATCATTCCATGGTCAAACATGAAAGACAAATCTAATCCTTACAAATCAACTCTGGAATATTTTACGGTTAGAGAAATATCAAAAACAAATTTTAATAGAATTTGGTTGAAAAAGGATTACTAAGGTAAGTTAAGAGTAATAACAAACTGTTTTTGTGCATAAAGGTGGTGGGGGAATAAAGGTTTACGAATAGCTATCACCTCAGCTTATTTCAATGATCGCTATTGACCGCTTTTAAAAATAACCTTAAAAGCTGTTTTAACACCAATCTTGTGAGTCATGACAACTAGAAGTTTAGCGATAGACGAAGTTGGTAGTCTGTTGCCACCTGTTTCTATGTGTTCACACACACACACACGCGAATCGGTAAATAGTCTGAGGTGTGACATAACCACTTGTGCACTCTTGAGGTTTGCAGGGGAGTATATTCTTGGCTTTTTTAATAATTTGAACAAAGCATTTAGAAGAAAAATGTCGCGAGATGACATCATTTCGTAGTTTTCTCTACAATCGTTTTACAACTGACATGGTTCACAAAAATTATAAAACAAAATGCATGACAATTACTCACTTATATGCAACAAAAGTACATACGAATGTGTATATTTTATTTTTGTGAACCATGTTAGTTGTAAAGCGATTGTAAAGAAACAACGAAATAATGTCATCTCGCTAAATTTGTCTTCTAAATGCCTCTCTTATACTGGTAGTGGACAGAAGCTGTGAAGATTTAACTGTTGCCGTGTCCAAGTGGCCTTTCTGTAAACGGACGTTTTATTGGACCATCATCTTTCCGACTCAAAAGTATGTTTAAAAATGCAAACTGGATGAGACTTTCTTCCTCACATGTAAGAATTATATAATTCTCTACTGGGTTAAATCTATCCAGTAGGCAACTCTTATCTTCTAGTTGACTTTTATTGGGCTTCAAACTAACTTGCACTGTAAAAAGAGATAATCAATTAGGATGATTTTTATTGGATTTAAGTGACATAACTCTACGGGACTGGGTTCGTACTGCCAAAATATCTATCACCTTTTCAAGTATAGGATATAAACTTGTAAACCAACTGTCCTAGGTTTGTACTGATGAAAAATCCCAAACTAGGACGAAACAATTGTCCAGTACTCCCTGATTTTCCTATGGTTCCCTGAATGAAGTCATCTTTTCATCAAACTTGAAATTAATTATATTATTTAATATAGCAAAAATATTCATTCAGACGTCTATAAAACACAAAATAATTGAGCAAAGAATAACCTTTTCGATAGTTTCTTCTTCTGGCTCTACAATTATATATACAACTTTATATACATAGAATGTTGTAGATTAGTAGTCATTAACAATATTAGTGTTCTTTTAAATAACATCGATTTGTAAAGTAAGATCACAATGGAATTACAGTTCATTAAAAATGCCTAAATAATTAATAATAATAATAAAGATATAATATCAAATGGAATATCAACTAAAATTAGGAAAATCCCAAAAAAATTCAGGATCATTCAAACTTAGATGGCCAAGGTAAGGACAATATCTGAAACAACTAGCTTCTTTTGGATGCATAAATTAGGCTCGTTAATATGGATCCCCACATCCTCAGCAATATTTAGTAGTCAAGCTCATAATGCAAAATTGAGATTCGTAGGTATACGGTAAATGACCCCGAAAGCATGATTAACATCAATCTTGTGTTCTGTATCCACAAGATGAGATAGAATACCGCTACGAATAGATTTTGTTTGTCCTTTGCTTAACCATCATGCAGGGTGATGTTCGGAAATTGGACGAGAAACACGCCTAATTGTAAGGCCTATGTAACTGGCTCTACAGGAGCAGTTAAATTGGTAGATACACATGGAAGAGGCGAAATGAGGCAGTTTGTCTTTTACTCCCGAACGTAAGAGAGGAGTGGTTTTGAAGACACAGCTTAATTTGGCAGCAGGGAATGCTCGTTTTACCACATTTCTAAGATGGTGTGTTAGTATCTCCCTGGTGTTATCCCTAAGGAACTGCATTAGTAAGAATAAAGCCCTTTTTGGAACTGTTGGTAACTTGGGCTGCCATGGTTTTAGATTCATATTCTTATCAATAAGCTTTTCTGGATAACCATTTTCACTTAGCAACCGTTTAATATTATTAAGTTCCTCATCAAGACATTCGTCTGAGCAAATCGCTCTTGCTCTATGAACCAAGCACTTTATCAGATTGCGTTTGTATTTGAAGGGCACAAAGCAAAGAAAATGAGTATACTGACTCGTTGATGTAGGTTTTCTATATACACTTCTTCTTATTGTGCCATCCTCTTTCTGGTCATAAGAACGTCTAAAATTGAAGTACTGGAGTCTTTTTCTTCCTCAACAGTAAAATTTATTGCGGGATGAACCTCATTAAATTTATACAGGATGCTGTTTGCTTCCTTTTCATTTAATTTAATTTGGACTTTCCGGATGAATGATTGGACTGAAGTGTTCCAACCTGTATTGACACGTTGGTTTATTAATAATAACTGATACCAGTTGCACAAAAGGTGGCTTTTGTGGCTCAAGTAGTCTAGTGGGACAATGGTGTGACATTCGAGACGTTGGGTGATTGTTTCGAGCCTCATTGAAAACATCATCATTGACTCAATGCTAAATGCAGGTACATCCACTAGCTGATGAATTCCAAAAACAGAACAAAAATGCGCGTCGTGGATTCCGCTGCTATAGTCAACATCCACTAAAATTACTTCAAATTAGAAATGGTAAAGAGTTTGAAAACACTAAACGAAAAGCAGCAAATTGACAGAGGAAGAAGCATCAAAGGTAGGAAAGACTTCAGGTGCACATAGAGAAAACAGAGGTGATAGAGATTTCTGGCCAACAGCAACAACAACAACAACAACAGACAACAATCAGCCAGCATGAATGGGAGAAATCTGAAAGAAGTAACCTCCCTTTCCATCTACCTACCTGGGAAGCATCGTTTCAAATACAGGTGGACGGAACTGACGAGGATATCAAAGCAAGGATAGGGAAAGCAAGACAAACTTTCATCACTCTCAAGTTTGTGTGGAGGTCAGCAGCACCCAGCATCAAAAATAAGATGCGGATCTTCAACTCCA